CAGACTCGATCGAAAGCCTGCGCAACGTCAAGGAATACCGCACTGCAGTGTTCCTGAAAATCGAATGCAGTTCGTATTTCAGTTGCTAATCTTTTGACTTGCTCTATTGTTCCATGGCTTTCTCGAAAGCCAAATTGATGTGCCGGAATAACTTTTTCAAATATGGGATTATGCGCGTCAAAAGGCATTTTTCGAGCAGTTTTGACAGACACAAGAGTTTTGCAGGGTTTGGCTAAAAAACATTTCAAAGGTGAAAACAAATCTACAAGCTCTGACTTCGTCGCCTCTGGCCCAGCTGTCTGAAGAGTCTCTTACGGGAATTACTGTTTCGGCCGGCGCACTTAGATTTGGGTGGGCCCTCCACAGGGGATGCTTGGTGCTGGTGGGTTAAAGTTTCTCAATGTACTGGCGTTGTGCTTTTTCTTCTTCGTGCCTTAGAGCCCTGGTAAGTCTGCGACCAGCTTCCTTAAGACTATGTTTTGAGGATGGCGATCTGCTGGTTTGCCAAGCACGCCTCAAACGTCTTTTCTCCGAAACAAGCTGTTCGATTTCAAGATTAGTTTTGTGCTGGTGTGTGTGCCCACCCTTGCGGTGTAGCGACTTTGGCTGCTGCGACGAGTACAGACTCCAGTGCATCGGCATAGCAGTCAATGTCCTCCTTGATGTTGAGCTGTGGAGTTAGTTCAATATGGGAACTTACGTACTTTTTGAACTTCAGCCAGTTGGTTCGATGCGACGTCAGCCTTCAAGGGTGCTCGATTAGTTCCAGGTTTTGAAGAAAAGTTATTAGCACTGGTGAGTGGTCCGATGATAGATCCAAAAGCGATTTTGCAGATATTAGGTTGCGAGAAATATTTTTTGTCACAGAAAAATCAATTAAATCAGGTAGTTTTCTAGGATCTGTTGGCCAGTATTTAGGACTGCCTGGTGAAACGTAGTCCACTTTGTTGCATGTTTTGATGAGTGCATTGTTTAGTTGCCTTCCTTTGGGGTTCACAAGGCGGGATCCCCAGTGTTTGTGCTTGGCTTTGTAATCACCTGCTGCTTTGAATCGCTCTCCAAGTGAATTGTAGAAGTCCATGAATTGGTCTTCGGAGACTGTAAAGCGGGTTGGGCAGTAGACAGCGGCAATGGCAAGGTTGCTGGTGCCCAACTGTAATTTTATCGATGTAGCTTGCAGATAATTTTTTGCAAACCGTTGGTGAAAGTGGTGTTTGATACGGTCTCTTATTAAGATGCCGGTTCCGCCATGTGCTTTACCATCTGGATGATCGGAGCCGTAGAAAGTGTATCCTCGTATTTGAAAGTTATATTTGCTGGTGAGATGGGTTTCTGCCAGCAACATAACGTCGATGTGATTTTCGTTCAGAAATTTAGTTATTTCAGGTATATGCCGTGAAACACCGTTGGCGTTCCACAGAGTTATTTGGAGGCTAGGCATAATTTATTTGGACTGCTGAGCTGCAAGCATTTGTAACAAGATATTTTGGTTTTGCTATATTTTGTTGCAAAGTTATCATCATAGTTTCCATGTTACTTTGTGGCTGTCCCATGGCCTGCTGTATGTTATCAGTTTTCGGCTCTATGTGAGCTGTGCCTGATCTTAGAGCACTGGTGTAGGAAATGCTGTTGGTGGTAATTGAAGGGCCAAATGATGACCTGGCTGCTTTTGCGAAGAAAACTTCGGGTGTCGTTTTTGATTTCATGTAAATTTTCTGGTGTGCCGTTGTCGCTCGTTGCATCCGACTTTTCATATCCTTGTAGACTGGACAGTCTCTGTAGTTGGCTGTGTGGTTTCCTTGGCAGTTTACACACTTTTAAGTGAGAGAGTCTTCCTTGTTGGCAGGGCAGGGTTCTGAGTCGACACTGCTCGGAAATCATCTTCGGTTTTGGTTTGAAGTTTGGTTTCGCTTGTATTCCCTTTTATAAGCGGAATAACATGAAAGTTATCTTTTCCGACAAGCTGAACTATTTTGTTGACTAGGACGTTGGACATCTTCTCCCGAATAAAGATAGGTGGGGGCTTAAGTTTCTTTGGGTCTAATTGATCAGGCTCTGTTTCAGGCTCTGCCAGAATGGAAAATCTATTTTCATTTAATGGCCCGAGATTTTCAGGGCCTTCGTTGGTACGGTATATTTATTGCCGTCAAGTTTTTTGGGGGTGTTAGCTTGCGCTTGGAAATATTAATGTAGCGATCCATGCCTGTCTGCATGGCCGAACCCGCTTGCGGAATTGTCATTTCTTATAACGTAGCTTTGTTTTTGCAGTTTGACCCGATTTTTGCACTTGGTTGTGTTGTTGCTTTACCCGCTGCAGAAGAATAGAGTGGAGTCGTTATTGAATTGTTGGCGACAGAGACCATTGTAGTTGACGTAGTAGTTGCTGTTGTTGTTGCACTAGGTGGCAGAAGCTCGGTTGGAGTTTTGCATTGCTCACTCCATGGCGTTTGAGCGGTGAAAAGAAGGCGGGAGAGCAAGAACTAGTTCTCTGGTTTTCGGCGGTCAGTAAACTTGCACTTTCTTGAACTTTTGGTTCTAGAGAATTACTCGTGAAAGAGAAATAAGCGTTGTTACGGACCAAAGAGAGACGACGTTTGTCTTGTTCTCTCTGAGTTTTTTCACGGGCTTCATCTTGTTGTTTTTGGCGTTCGGTGCGCAGATCCACGTTCTTACTCATTTGCTTATTGTTAGTGCGTAAAGATTAATTAATACTTTATTTTACGATACGCGAATCAGCATCGCAAAACCTCGCGGCTATAAATTTTTTCGAAAGTTTTTGACTGAGTGACTAATTGTTTTTCCGGAGCGTTAAGAATACACGTCTACACGTGACCGGAGCTATAACTTAATGCTTAGAATCATTTCCTAATCTTTAAAAGCGTTTTTCTCCAAACTATTTTTTTTTTTGAGGTGGTTGACGTGATATTTTAAGATCTACTGAACCGATTCCTTTAGTATATATCTTGTTTATACTACTCTCTATAGCGTCTGCTTCGGATTAAAAAAATGTTTTATTTTTAAAATATTCGAAAATGTCAGAAAAATTGTTTAAAAATATTTTTTGTTTGTCTTGACACCGGTTTGTTATCTTAAAATATTTTTTTTGATAGTGGTCAACCCGGTTACCCGCCCTGTATCTCGGCGTTTTTTTTTTATTTTTTTTGTATTCTTAAAATGTCAATAAAAAACATACAGAATTGCATATTAAAATTGTTATTCATTTCTTTTTTATCTTATTTTGAAAAATGCCATAAATTCAGGCTTCTAGACCAGAATACCCCCTCAGCATTCAGCAGCCTTTGAAGAACGTATAAAATATTTTCCAATTGCTCACCATAGCGGTATTTAAAATTAAATAATTAATTTAATAACTGAAACGCACAATTTGTCCAATGATGAATGAAGGGTGCCTTGGACTGCCTCAATGATTCCGCATCCCTATCTTTACGATAAATCTGAAACTGGGGACTCATCATTAAAAAAACTGGAATTGAGCCAAGTCTCAACCAATATGATAACATTTAAGGCGGAGTTAGATGTCATCAAAAAGACCAACTCAGCCTTCATGCGCATGCCCGATACATTTTGCAAGTATATCTTTAAAGTAAAATTTCTGGCGCGTAAGCGGCCCTATTGACGAAAAATTTAAAGATTGAGTTGCGAGCTCAAACGCTGCAGTTGAATTATCTTACGCACATTTTGCCTGAAGTATGTGTACTTCACAGAGAGCCTTTAAAATTGTTATAAGTTTAAAAGGTGGAAAATCCTCATCTTCTTCCGAAGAAATGTCCAGTAAACTGAACAGCAAAGGGTTATGCTGCTCTAATGCGGCTGGTTTCAAAGAATTCGTAAATGATGATAAAATGTAGAGTTACTCAGGCGTATATGAGCTATAATCGAAAGTTTAAGAAGACAGTTTAACAGATATTTGCTTGTGCAGTTAGTGATATGAAAACAGTTTAAGCAGCTAAAGAGAAGATCCCGATCCGTCCAAAATATCACCTATTCTAAGAGCATCCAAAAGGGCCGGCCACATTGAGAATGTCGAGAGAAACCGTTGTAAGAGTCATATTATCCAGAGAGGCAGAGATTTAGAAATGCAGCCTTAAAAATTTCCGGAGCCGAAAGAGCATTAAGAATTGAAGAGAGCGCAGCATAGGATAGCATGCTAGGAACGACACCATATCCAGTACTTGATGGATGATCTTGTTAAGTGGACAACTCCATCGGGAAATAAGCTAAGCGTGCTGAAAGCGCAAGTCCAATGAGAATGGAAGGCATTGGTACCAAAGCCGCTACTATGTTGTGTTGATGATCCCAAACATTTTCCTCCACTACTGTCACGTTGGCCTCCTAGTTTCAGCTGTATTCATGCGTTGGGCCTATCGCGTACAACCCTCTGATCTGCACTGGGCACGTAACACCATGTGAAAAGATTATCACGCCTTCCAAATCTTTAGCCGAGCACTGACTGAGACGGGACACTACTCTTAAGCTTTCTTGGTTCCACACACCGTCTTTGCAAAACAGGGTTTGACCGGTCAAATCGCGAAGATTTGCCATGTTTGAGTCTTATTTTTGGGATAACCCATGTCAATAAGTTCAGTCAGGACACTGTCCCTTGAAATTTCCGCGAGTCAGAGTTGCGACAAAAGGAAAAGGTCTCAATCTCTGTTTAACAACCTGATATTCACAGACAACCATGTAGAGCCATATGCAATTCTCGGGCGCTTCAGGAGCCCTTAAAACCATCTCACTAGCTCTTTGTGCCAAGTCTGGAACAGAAATGAAACAATTTAAACCACTCAAAATTTTAATTTTTAAGTATTTTGTGTGCAACAGAAGTCAAAATAGTCTTTAACGATTATGTTCACCCTATGCATCAAATCACAATGACTTAAAGCACTTATAAGTATAAGAAAAACTTCCGATCCATATCTAAAGAATTGTTTATTAAAACTAACTAAAAATAATATATTGACAAAATTGTATATTTCAAGATAAAGTTTCCTCAACTAAGGGATTCGGGAATCTACGAATGTCAAGTGTCAACAACACCGCCAGTTGGGTATACCATGATATTTTCAGTTGTAGGTAAGTTTTACTTAGTAAATAGCTAGCAACACCGACCAATGTACTTGTAAGCAATGTATACCAATTCAGCATACTAAAATTTTTGTTATGTTTATTAAGTAAGTATTTTTTCTACATTACCAGCCATACAGCCATGATTGCTTTTTCGTATGCCAGCTTCACTAATCAAGAAACTTTGTAAGGTTCGATAGTCAAGTTCAGCAGTCTTTTAATGAGAACAAAGTTTCACACACCACTGAGAACTTTATAGACAATCCACGAAGCTTCCGAGACTTCTAAGCAGTAAGTTAGTTCTTTATTGACTTGCAGAGAGGCAGCGGGTGGCGAGATGTGAAAGACGTAAAGGGAAGCGACAGTAGCAGCACTATGCAAAGAAGAGATGCAAACGAAATATACGAATAATACCTACAAAACAACCAAGTTTATAACATTTTAACCGATAGTAGTCCGATCGGGAAGATTTTTTTACATCAAAGTTTCAAGAATATCTCTTTTATATTGCGACAGTAATTATAATCGTTCACGGGCTGTGGTTTGGTTGTTTTCTCTCGCATAATAAATGTGTTGATTTTTTCCCTTGCAGAGGGTATTATAGTTTCAGTCAGAAGTTAGCATCGCAGTGAAGGAGACGTTTCCGACCCTATAAAGTATATATATCCTTGATCTGTCGATCTAGCCATGTCCGTCTGTACGTCCGTTTCTACACAAACTAGTCCCTCAGTTTTAAAGCTATCTGCATGAAAAAAAAGTTGTATTTCTATTGCAAATAGTATATAATTCGGAACGAACTGGATTGAACGACTATAGCATATAGCTCCCATAGGAACAATCGGAAAAAAAATTATAAAAAAATTATAACTTTTCTGTTTTTAATTTAGTTCTTCGACATATAGTAATGGTTAAATATTTCAGAATTACTTTTTAAATTTCATCAAAATCGGACGACTATAACATAAATTCCCCATGGGAACAATAAAAATATTTTAATAAAAAATTTTTAAAAAATTATCTATTTTGTTTTGTATTATAGCTTCAATGCTTTTGAACATACACGCAAGTAAATCACAATTTTAATATCTTCAAGAATATTTAATTTTTGCAAAAGCTGCAAGGGTATATGAGCTTGGGATTGCCGAAGTTTGTTTCTTTTCTTGTTTATTGTAAGATAAATAAATAATAAAATAAAAAACTAAATAATTAAACAATGTTACCTGAGTTAATATACAGAACTAGAATGTAAAATTTCAGTTTTGATTGGCTTTAAGTTATAATCGGGTTTTGCTTGTTCCATCTGCCGGAAAATAATAACTTCTAAAAGTAATAGTTTGGTTATAAGCTATTAATTACTACGAAACTACGAAATTCGATTACTAATCCGAAACCTTTTCATTCCGAGCCAGTTCTATGACTTAATAACAAGCTGTAGTTAAGCTTAAATAATACCTTTCCCCATGGGGCCTCCGGTTTATAAAAAAATTGTATTTTACGAAGTTTATTTTTGTGACTTTTTTATCTGTAGTAGATGTCGGGGGACACCAGTTATTACCATTATTTGTTTAAGCTTATTTAATCTTAACTATATCGATATTTTGATCCCTCAGATCAATTCTACTTGGCGCTATCGCAAGAAGGTCCGGCATCGTCTTTAGCGGCCTCTCCTCTCTCTCGTTTCAAAAGCGACAGCGCTTGTCAGAATAAAACGTAAAAAAAATTGGACAGAAAACAGCAGCATCACTGGACTTTTAATTTTGGAAGGATCGGGAGATGCAGCTATTCTTTAATTCTTATTGACCGAGACATTGGGTCAGACATTTGGCGACCGTGACAGGACGGAACATCTAGACAAGTTCGCGTCCATTCATCCATTTATTTACTGCTAAATGCTGTGCGGCATCTGAAACTTACCAAGGTAAACATTCGTAGTGCCAGACTCATCTTTAACATAGCTCTGACACTTGCAGGTAACATACATCACCCCTCTTGTCAACTTTCCACACACTTTGACGAAACCGCAAATATTCAGATACATACGTATATTTTCTATTTCCTCTTGCTGCCGCGTTTTTAAAAATTAAAAATTCGGTGCTTTGGGTATTGAAACATATACTGTCACCGAATTGGATAATAAACTCCAAACTCAGAAAAGCTGGTGATTTTCTTTTTCAGTTCATAAAGGTGCAGTTGAGGTAATTTCGGCGGCAGCTGCGTGGGACCGCTTACGACTAAATTTCTGCAAATTCATCACGCCAATGCCAAGAAACTGCTTCCATACTGACGGCGACCCCAGATGCGAAACTAACAAATTTGCGTGTTCATCGCAATACATTTGAGAAGCACATTTCTTACATTCATGAGAAGGTGAGGTCCTGTGGAAGCCAAGATGAAGATGGCGTGCTTCAGTGTAGACTGAAATTCCTGAAATTCATCTAATATTCAAACACAATCCGAAAATCTGAATAGCATTAATATTGAGCGTGCAGGACAAGAAGAGCGTTTTATAGCTGCTAGGGTCAGCATAACATCATTACTGCAGGCCAAAAAACCAAACGACGAGTTTAACACTTCCGTGGCCATCGTATCAACCCACACAACCAGGTTGCCGAAGCAAAAACTACCACATTTCAATAGAAAATACGCTGCCACAACTATCTGAAATTGACTACGATATATCAATTGAATTATCTTCTGAGTTGTCTGCCAGGTTCGGCGCTTTCAGGTTAAAGAGGATAACTAGAAAAAGGCCGTAGAGCGTCTGGATGCGCGCTTGGACAACGACGTTCTAATCCGTTAAGATTAAATTCCCACCTTCTTCGCGATGCCATCAATTGAACAACCGGACTTAACTGCACTCCAGAAACTTATTGACAATGCATCCGCAGTTCGAGGATTATTACTTCTCATTGGGACTGCTGAGAAAATCATGATACACAACCTTCTATCAATGGTCGACTTCGAACAAGAACGAAGTATGAAGAAAATCAGGACTACGAGAAATTGCCAATTGGGTCGATTGTTGCATTCTTGTTTTCAATCCCAGGCTACAGTTTTCGCAAGGTCAACAAACTGGAGGTCTGGCTCCTCGTAAAAATTTTTAAAGCATTGCAGACGTTTGCATACACTGCTATTCATACATGCTTGCACAAGGGACATAAATCGAAAACTTCTCCCTCCAAATTGAAGTGCAGGGTATGTGAAGCATCACATCTCGCACTTAAACATAGCTTTGTAACACCAGGAAATACAAGCCCAACGAGCTTATAAATTAACAGCATACATTGACCAGCAGCAGCATGCTTTCCTGCACTAACAGGAAAAGGCATAATACTCACTGCCCTAATTCAAATCTTATCCTTGATGGAAAGCCTAATCTTATCCATGCTCTACTTGACACATGCTCGGAGGCGAATTTCCTTACAGAGGAAACTGCAATGAGAATCCAGCTATAGAGACTTAGGGTATATCAAGAAGTCACCTCTGTCGTCACGACCACTTTATAATCTCGAACTCCAAACTTCGAATGATCATCTTCATTTTAGGTGATTAAAAAGATTTGCATTTTTTTTAGGTCGAATAAAGTTCAGATTTAAATAGGCACAAAGGATTTATTTCTGAACGCAAAATCATGCTTGGCGAAGGTAAGCCTACACTGCGCAACACAGAATATGAATGGATAGTTGGCGGCAATTTTACTTCAAGTGGATATAATTCAGCAAGCAATCAATCACTTCACACAAGGGATAAATAGCTCGCTGAAAACCTTTACCGGGAGTCAGTAACTCAACTTGGAAGATGGCAGGATAAAGCTCAGGTTGCCATTCAAGTTGAGTTCTAAAGAACTTGGAACCTCAACAGAAATGCACTGACCAGATTTAAGTCACTAGAGCGTCTACTTGATCGAGACGTACCGCTCAAGGCAGCATATGTTCAATTCATGCAGAAGTACCAAAATCTAGGAAGATAGGGAGCAGCCGCATTTGTCCGTTCTCTTCAAACAACAGGAACAAAAAGACCAAATGAAATTCGAATTTTCTCTACTAAATTAAATATTTTCAAGTGTGCCAAAAATTTCATCCCGGTTCACTCACTTATCCATCCTCACTTGTTCCTTTTAACGACTTATCATGTCAGATTTTACCCGAACTCATATTAATACAACTTCGTTTAATGGCGTTGAAGGCACTCACTCAACTAAATTCATGAAGTCGAATTTAAGGCCGTTTGGGTGCAAGAATCAGCATTCCAGATAGAAACAACATGTCTGCAATTGCGATGATTGATCAGAACTCAATGTATAACGTTGTCTCATTTGTTTGGCATCCCTAACACGTGTCCTTCGGGATATCCCACGATTTGTCCATACTACTCACTCGACGACTTCGGATGCATCTATATACGAACAAAAACTCAGGATGGAGTGCAAATACATTTTCTTGTTGCCAAGTCTAAGGTCACACCTACTAAAATCATACCCAGACTTGAGTTGTGCGCTGCAGTGCTGCTCAATCGGAATTTGAAAAAGTACACAGTAGATCAGACAGGAACAAATTCAGCATTAAGTTAATTCATCTCAAATTGATCGACACACGTAAGAGTTCTTTGAGTAGTTTCTTAGGTGTACCGCTCGTCAACAAGGTCAAATCGGAAATGACATCTTCTGACAAATTATTCCAGCAAATCACCATGAGTGATAAGCTTCCGATATTGTAGCACCGCAAAAGAACAGAATTTGCAGCCAAGTTTGCAACAATTTGCACCAGTTTTAGAGTAATTGTCGTTCAATGGGGCGAAGTGTGTGTGATTAGAGTTGGGTAGAGGCTAGCATAGGGGGATAGATATAGTTCGACGAAAATTTCCTACCATGTTACCCAGGAAACATCCACTGACCAAACTTTATGTTGTATTTAAACATAAAACTAATCTTCACGCTGCAACCAAACTTCTCTCACTCCTTCGCGAGAAACTTTGGTTTATTATAGCACGCTTGTTGATGCGACAAATTC